TATCGATATTGGTTACACCTTGGTAATTCCGAAAAATCTATTTGCCAATATTCACCAGGAGTTATACCTTTCTTTACCTCTCCAGGAGGAGGTCGAGTTTGTATCTTTGGATTATTTTTAAGACATATTTCACACTTATTACAAACACTCTTTGCTATTAATAGCATTTTGGCCCCAATTGCATATCTTTTCACTGACTCAACCATAGCTTCAGCTCCCATGTGGGTTTCAACATGAGTCTTAATCATCAATTGCTTCATGATTTCAGGAGTTACTATACACTGTCCATGGGAAGTTATCCACCACCCCTGGTCGTTCTTTCTACATTGTAATAATTCAGCTAATTTATTCTCTTTCTCTCCATAGTGTATAGCTTTTACTTGAATCTCCTTTGATGGAATTAAAACATAGACTCTCGTGTACAACGCTGCCCTCTTGGCGGCTTCATCTGCCCTCCGATTTCCTCGTATTAATTTCGAGTCTCCCTTTTGATGGGCTTTGCAGTGAATTACAGCAACTTCCTTCGGACACTGCACAGCTTCTAATAAATTTAAAATCTCAGTCCCGTATTTTATAGGTGATCCATTAGCTGTCAGTAATCCACGTTCCTTCCATATAGCTCCATGGGCGTGGACTACCCCAAATGCATATTTCGAATCTGTATATATATTAACCTTTTTCCCTTTTGCCAGGTTCAGAGCCCTTGTCAGAGCTATTATCTCGGCCTTTTGGGCGGAGGTATTGGGTGGTAACGCTTTTACCTCTCGATCTTCAGTCAAGGTTACCACAGCATAGCCAGCTCTTCTTTCTCCTTCAACGACAAAGCTACTCCCGTCTGTAAATAACTCTTCCTCGGGAGATTGCAGAGGAGTATCCTTTAAATCCGGTCTGCTAGCGTAAACCTGTTCAATAACTTGTAAACAATCATGATTTGGGCCTTTTTCACTCTCAGTTGGCATTAGGGAGGCTGGATTCAAAATTGAGCTTACCTTTAAGGCGATATCGTCTTGTTCAACCAATAAAGCCTGGTATTGCAGCAAACGACTAGGGGTAAGCCAATGATGGCCCTTCTGTTCCAATACAGTAAGTACTGCATGTGGGATGTGGACCGTTATTTTCTGTCCCATTGTCAACTTTCTAGCCTCTTGTATAATAAGGACAGTTGCTGCTACTGCTCGCAGACAACTAGGCCATCCCGAACTTACTTTGTCCAATTGTTTAGAAAAATAGGCCACTGGTCTCCTCCAGTTTCCGAGGAATTGGGTTAACACTCCTAGGCCTACATGTTTTTTCTCGTGGACAAACAATTCAAAAGGTTTAGTTAGATTTGGAAGTCCCAAAGCCGGCGCTTTCATTAAGGCCCTTTTAATTTCATCAAAACTTTTCCTACATTCCGGAGTCCATTCTAACAAATCCTCAGGACCCTTGGTAGCCTCATACAAAGATTTTGCCATCAGGCCATAATTCGGAATCCACAAACGACACCATCCTGCCATTCCCAAAAATCCTCTTAGTTCCCTTTTCGATTGAGGGGGTGCCAGCTTACAGATGGCTTCTTTCCTATCAGTTCCTAGTTTCCGCTGTCCTTGTGAAATTTCAAAACCTAAGTAAATCACAGTCTGTTTTGCGATCTGCGCCTTTTTCTCTGAGACTCTGAATCCTGCCATTCCTAAAAAGTTCAAAAGACTTATTGTCTTTTCCTTACAAATGTCCTCATTGTCTGCCCCAAGCAGGATATCATCGACATATTGGAGAAGTGTAACATGATTTTCCTTACCAGGCCATTGTTCTAATTCTTTTGTCAGAGCGGCACCAAAAAGGGTGGGGCTATTCTTGAAGCCCTGCGGTAATACTGTCCAGCAGAGCTGAGTTTTTCGTCCAGTCGACGGATCTTCCCACTCAAAGGCAAAGAGCTTTTGGCTGTCTTCTTCTAATGGTATACAGAAGAAAGCGTCTTTTAAATCTAAGACAGAAAAATACGTATTTGTTTCATTAATAGTTGTTAACAATGTGTATGGGTTTGGGACCACTGGGTGAATATCAACTACCAATTGATTCACCGCTCGCAAATCTTGGACCAATCTATATCCTTGGCCATGAGGTTTTCTTACCGGGAGAATGGGAGTATTATAGTCAGAATGGCATTCTTTCAAAAGTCCGTGTTTAAGGAAATTATTTATTATCGGTTCCAGACCTTTCCTTGCTTCCATGCTAATAGGGTATTGTTTTTTTCTTACCGGTCGGCTTCCAGTCTTTACTTCCACCTTTATCGGCCTTACGTTTTTTGCTCTTCCCGGCTCTTCAGTCGCCCAAACAAAGGGATAAACGGCATTCTTTATTTCCACCGGTATTTCTTCACATTTTTCTTCTTTATTTTCCTGTAACAAACAAACTTGCGCTCTCCAGGCATTAGCTTCAGGAAAATGGACTTGTACTTTCCCTCCTTCGAAAGTAATTTGTGCTCCCAGTTTTCCTAACAAATCTCGTCCTAAGAGAGGTATGGTACATTCCGGTATATATAAAAATTCGTGCATTAAAGTTTTTCCTTCTATCATACATTTGAGGGGCTTTGAAAAAGGTCTTATTTCTGTCTTTCCCGTGACCCCAACAATAGATACGTTAAATTTACTCATTGGTCCTCTACATGTATTTATAACAGAATATTTTGCTCCGGTATCTACCAAAAAATTAACAATCTCATTCCCCAGCCTTACTGGAACCAGGGGCTCGGCTGGGGAGGCACTATCTGCCCCCGGTCCCCTTCATTCAGAGTCTTCTCCCATCATAAGTAAATCGGCCTCAGGTGGAGGTTGCTGTGATTGTGTCACTGCTACCCTCTTATTTTCCGGACATTCATTTTTCCAGTGCCCGTGTTTTCGGCATATAGCACACTGATCAATTCCCAAAGGAGCATTCTGTCGGGGCATTCCTCCTCTATTTCCCCTGCCTCTTCCTCCTAGATAACCTCTACCCCTTCCTCTAAAACCCCTTCTTCCTCTACCTCCAGCATATCCTTGAGCATTGACAAAGGCAGCTGCTAAAATGGCAGCCTTTTGCCTTCTGTCTCTTGTTTTTTCTTTTTCATTGTTTCTTTTTTCCTCCTCTTCCCTATTATTGTATACCTTATAGGCAATTTCTATTAGTTGTGATATAGTCATACCCGTAATCCCGTCTACCTTTTGTAATTTCTTTCTAATATCTGGGGCAGCTTGTCCTACGAACAAAGTAGTAAATATAGCCCTATTCTCTTCGCTCTCAGGGTCCAGATCCGTCCACTTTCTGGCTGCCTCGCATAATCGTTCATAAAAGGTGGACGGATCTTCTGTCTTCCCTTGAATTATTTGAGTTAGCTTTGCCAAATTCTTTGGACGTGATATTCCGTTCTTTACTCCATACAAAATCAACTGTTGATACTGTTTTATCATCAGTTTCCCATCATTACTATTAGGATCCCAATTGGGATTTTGACTAGGCATAAAATGCACTGGTCCTTCTCGGGCATTTATCCTTTCATTTTCCATATTAGCTTTTTCTAGAACAACCCGCTTCTCCTCGGGAGTAAATAAATTATTCAAAAGAATTTGGATATCCTGCCAATCTGGGTTGTGGTTTTCCACAATCGTTCGAAAAGATCGATATACCTTCTCAGGATCCTCCCTATATGATCCTGCTAATTCTTTCCAATTCATCAGATCAGAAGTTGTAAACGGTACTTTTACAAATACAGGTTCCCCCCTTGGGCCCACAGCCTGTCGAAGGGGGGCCAACATTACTGGCCCTTGTTGAGCCCTAGTCCGACCGGCTATCGGGCTAAAAGCTTCACTCCCTCTCATCCCTGTCTCAGAAACTTCATTCCTGCCCGGTGGAACCAACATTTGTGAATCTTCCTCTTCTTCTCCTAATTTTAAACAACGTTTCCCTATACTACAAGCAGAACAACAATGTGCTTTTGGCTCTTTGTTTTCCATCATCATCATCATCACATTAGAGTCGGAATCCAAGAGTTTACATTTTTTTCTGATTTCATGATCATTTCTCAAAGAGAAAAACATATCTACGTAAGGTACTTCATCCCACTTTCCCTGCCTTCTACAAAATAACATTAATTGTAAAATAGTATTATACTGTAAAGTCCCTAACTCTGGCCACTTTTCTTCGTCTTCCAATTTATACATTGGCCACCACCTAGTACAATATTCAATTAACTGATCTTTCCTTAGGGGATCCCCACCAAATTTTCCCCAATGTTTAATGATGCATCCTAAAGGGGAACAAGGTGTTATCTTTGTCGTTTGAGCTCCCATATTTTTACCCAAAAAGAACGTTCTTAACCACAGTTTCATATACTCTAGTCGTCACTATCAAGCGCATATGAATGTACCGGCTCTACCCTTGGCGCCTTTAATTTCGTGTACTCCAGTCGTCACTGTCAAACGCACACGAACATACCTTGTACCCTTAAATAATTAAACACAGTATCTCTTATATTCTCTTTAGCGTTGCACCGTTGAGTCACTTACCCGCTCGGGCTGGGAGAATACCCACGGAATCCCCGATCAAAAGGTCGGTGCGCGCCGGAGTCCGGTGAGTAGGGTCTCCCCACCGAGAGCCGGCAAGTTGATCCGGGCAGGGCTTCACAGCAGTCCCATCTGGGTCGCCAAAAACTGTTGTCCGAAAAGCAGATTCATGCCCAGCATGCAAGTAACCAATTCCACACGCTCAGGAGAGATATGGAGAGATACTATGCAGGCCCGGGTGCTTGGTGGACTTGCCACAAATCAAGCACACCCAGCCTTACACAAAAGCATTTATCTACCCTCTTCTCATACATATTCAAATCTTTATATTTACATATTCATTCTTTTTCCGGGAACTAATTATAATATTGCAACACTTCTTACACATGCGCATTAACATCCTTAGGGTCTTTTCCGAGGGTCTCGGGTGGTCTCTGGTGGTCGATGGGGTAATAACCGTTCCATGAACTCTTCTTCTCTTCCTTATAAGGCAGTGACCTATCCCCTTATTGCTTAACCAGCTCATCTGTTCCTTATGTTCTGTTCACGAGATAATCTGGTTACGCTGACCTATCTTTATTTGCCTTCTGCTTCCTTTTGGCACGACAAGAATGTCCTGTTTCACAATTATTCAGCATAGTTTCACATATCTGTACTTTTCCATCTTCTTGCCCAGACTTTCTATTTTCCCATCTTGTCTATAAGCTTATAACGTTAGTAGTTCCTTTATATATAGGGTTAGTATTTTATTTTATTATAACAATTCCCCCCTTTGAGACTGATGATAAGATATCATTAGTCTCACTATCGTTTAATACAGGGTAACATGATCTGCACCACACAACAAATCAAAATCCCTAAAACAATGATCAATATTATAAACAAAAACAATTGTCTAAGCCAATTCAAATTCGGAAGCCACGAGAACAACCATGAGAAATCTAATCCTTCCCGTTCCTTAAATCCTGAGGCCAAATCCTTTAATTGTTGAATCTTTTTCTCTACTAATTGGGAGTTATCGCTTAAATTAAAGCAACACATACCTTTAAATTCTTCACATCCATGGTTATGTCTTAGAAGTAGATAATCTATGGCAGCCCTATTTTCAAGAGTGGCTTCTCTTATTTGAGTCATTTCCATTCCTATAGCCGAAAGGGCTTGAGAAGTATAATTTATGTCCTTCACTAATGCACAAGTAATTCTTTTTATAGTATGGTAGTTCATGGCAACCCCTACTCCTGGAGCTAAAATGGCTGCTGCTGACATCTCGCTGGAACTGTATAAAGTAACTTGAGAATCACAGTCCTCAGATATTTGATGGATACTTCGTCTACCTCGTTTCTGGTGTCCTAAATCTGCTTTATTTATTAACAATGGAGCTATCCGTCCAATAGAACAAGGTCCTCCCGTTACATTAGCTGGTATATAAGAATAGGCTATTCTTCCACACAACAAAAACCATCCCAGGGGCAATCTAATATGTGCCCATACATAGCTCAATGGTTGAGTATGATTACATTTTAAAGGGGGTTGCAAGCGTGCTAAGTTCTCACATCTAGAGGTACAATTTTCGAATTTTACACAATTCCTGGCTGGAAGGGTTCCTCGTACTTTAACTCTTAACATCCCTTTTTCTTTATATCTAGTAACCTTCCCAAAAGAGTATATGCTATCATAAGTTAATTTTATGTCAAAGCTTTGGAACATAGTATAATTCTTTATTAGTTCTAAAGGAGTTGGTATTCCAAGCAAACAAGAACTATACATCCCTCCTACCGAATTTTCTGCAGCAATACAGAAGGAGGACATGTTGGTTACTTCTCGGGCCAAAAGCTCCCAAATATTTCGATTTCTATCCCATTTTGGCAAAAGAAATTGAGAGTTCGTTTGATTGATCATTGTTAATAAGAACACTATGTTCCACCACATTTCTACTTGTAGTTATACAATCAAACTATTACAAATAATTCAGCAGCTTTCCCGAAATTCACTGATTTCGTTTCAAAGTTATTTTTAACGGCCCCTTAAGCGTGGAAGTCCATAATCCAGGGGGCACCTTCTTTATTCGAGTATAGTGGATCCAGGAATCTATTCCGTCCAATTTCACAGCCGTGTTTGTCGTCAATAATACTTGAAACGGTCCTTTCCACTTCTCTGCTAGGGGGTCTTCCTTCCAAGTCCGTAAATACACTCGGTCCCCGGGGTTAAACGAATGGACTGGAAACTCTAAGGGTAACGGAGTCTTTAAAAGAACATATTTATGTAGAGAACTTAATATTTTACTCAAGGATAACAAATATTCTGTCAATACCTTTTCTCCTATCACATGCATCTGTTCAGATCCTCCTGTCAGGTTCACATGGTAAGGTTTACCATATAATATTTCAAATGGGCTTATTTTTTCTCTAGCTCGTGGTGTTACCCTAATTCTTAACAGAGCTAATGGTAATGCTTCTGTCCATTTTAATTGAGCTTCCTGACAAATCTTAGAAATTTGTCTTTTCAATGTTTGATTCATTCTTTCCACCTGCCCACTAGACTGTGGCCTCCAAGGGGTATGTAAATCCCATCTAATTCCTAAAGTTTTGCTCATATTTCTAACTACTTCTGCTACAAAATGCGGACCTCGGTCAGAGGACATCCCTAGTGGTACCCCAAATCTCGGAATAATTTCTTTCAATAACCACTTTATAACTTCCTTTGCTTTGTTGGTTCGACACGGGAAAGCTTCAGGCCACCCGGAAAAGGTGTCAACTAGAACTAATAAATATCGATATTGGTTACACCTTGGTAA